TGCCTCAGTCTCCCGAGTAGCTGGGACTACAGGCATGTGCCACCATGCCTGGCTAATTTTTTCTATATATTTTTACTTGTCCAGCTAATTTCTTTGTATCTTTTAGTAGAGACGGGGTCTTGCTCTTGCTCAGGCTGGTCTCAAACTCCTGAGCTCAAATGAGCCTCCCACCTCCTAGCCTCCCAGAGTGCTAGGATTACAAGCATGAGCCACTACGCCCGGCCCCTGTTTAGCTCTTTTAATTCACATATTAACTCTGGGAAGTAGTTATTATTCTGTCCATTTTGCAGATGAAAAATTGAGACTCAAAAATAACTTGCTACATAGTAGCTACATAGCTGGTAATTGGCAGAGGTGGAAGTCAGACCCAGGCTCTGGTGCTGGCACGCATAGTTCCTCCCTGGTGCCATGTTGGCCTCTTCCCATTTTGATGAGAATATAATTCTAGTGGGCAAGGGCATTTACAGTGTGTGAGAGAGTCTTGTTTATTAATTTTGCAAATTTCAAGATCTCTTTTATTCAGTGTCTTTTCTCAAACAGCTCACAGGACTTTTAAAGTTTAAGTGCCTACCTTCTACCGTATCACCTTCTAGAGAAGAGGCAGTTATTAACTTTATGTTAACATGCAGGACAGATGGGCATGGGGAGTAAATGTTACATACTGCACTCCAGGTTTGTGGAAATACGTGCTAAGCAGAGCGCTTTTCTTGGCGAGTGAAGTTGCTCTTTTGATTTTCGTCAATAGACCCTATTTTGAGTTGTTCTCCCAGCGTGGAGGTGGCTTAGCTTTGCTTCACCCACACGTCTCTCCTGATTCCCCAGAGACCAGAGGAAGACACTGCAGAGGCAGTTGTCTGTGTCCAAAAATCCTGTATGATCGTGGAACTGGATGAAGCTAAGAGCAGCCCAGGATTATGTGGGGCTTAAAGAATGCTAGACATGGCCGGGCGCGGTGGCTCACGCCTGTAATCCTAGCACTCTGGGAGGCCGAGGCGGGCGGATCGTTCTGAGCTCAGGAGTTCGAGACCAGCCTGAGCAAGAGCGAGACCCTGTCTCTACCAAAAATAGAAAGAAATTAATTGGACAGCTAAAAATATATACAGAAAAAATTAGCCGGGCATGGTGGCGCATGCCTGTAGTCCCAGCTACTTGGGAGGCTGAGACAGTAGGATTGCTTGAGCCCAGGAGTTTGAGGTTGCTGTGAGCTAGGCTGAGGCCATGGCACTCGCCCTAGGCAAGAGAGTGAGACTCTGTCTCAAAAAAATAAAAAAAGAAAAGAATGCTAGACGAAGGACAGCTGAGTGGCTTCTGATGCAACTGAAATTGGAGAATTGGGTGTATTAAAACTAATTCCTTATTATAGTAAAATAATGTATCCCATTTCAGAAACATTTGACATGTTTAGAACATTGATGCTATAATCCGTCTTACCGGTAACAGTTTATTTTCAGTGACAATAAAAGCCATTGACTAATTTGTTTTTTTATTGAAAAGAGATGTTGTGACTAGCTGGCATATGCCGCTTGAGAGCAGTGAATGCAGTATACAGGGTGGCTCACTTGGACACCCACAGCAGTACAGAGCTTTCGTAAGTTCTGAGTAAAGCATTAACCAGCATAGCTTTTCTGGAAACCACCTTCCCCATATCGATTTGGACATTCACTCTTAAGCATGTATGACCCTTTTTGGGGGTTTTCTGTCTGGGGGTTTCCTGTGTGGAGCTCAGTGGCTCACTCTAGAGCAGGTGCTGAGCAAATTGTCAGGCTACAAACTGTCTTTCTGTTCTGCAGAGCAAGTTTCTTAGCAGGTTGGTGTTGAGATTTCTCAAGAATTTCTGAGATCTGACTGTAAATTTCAGGCAATGGCATATATTGTAGTATTTCTTTGACACTGGAAATTTAGGAAGAGTTTGGGCAGATGGTATAAATACTGCAAAATGATGTACCCTGTGACTATAAATTAAGGGTTTGATGGTACTGACTCTTCTGTGCTGTTTTTCCCTTATCTTCACATAGAAAGCTGATGTCCTGACCACTGGGGCTGGTAACCCAATAGGAGACAAACTGAACATCATGACAGCAGGGCCCCGTGGGCCCCTTCTCGTTCAGGATGTGGTTTTCACTGATGAAATGGCTCACTTTGACCGAGAGAGAATTCCCGAGAGAGTGGTGCATGCTAAAGGAGCAGGTGAGAGCTATGTTCATTTGTTGTAAAAGGCTTGTGTCATAGCACCTGGGTCAAAAATTACTTCCCAGAGGGTTGGAGGACCTTTAACAGAAATGCCAAATCTCCATTCTGGGAGAAAGAAAAAATGTCCATCAGTAGGGGAATTAGTAATTAAATGATGGTTATTTCCTTGGATTGAACATTAAATATAAAATAGTTTATTTTAAAAATGATAATCTTCCATTTCTTCTATCATGCAGTTAGTTGATTGAAGGAATAAAAATAGAGTAAATCCATACCTAATGATGTTGATAGGTTCTTAGAAACTATAAGCAAAATGACATATAAAAAAACCAATTTTATCATAGGCTAATTATATAAACAAGAGTTAAATTTCTGAAGCACATTTCTGGTCACAAAAACATCAAACTTCTAAATAAAGACCAAACTACTTCTTATGTTAAACATTGAGATAAATGTGAGCTGTACATTCATTTACGAAAGAATAATAAAAAACAAATAAGGTAATTATTTACCCACTTATTCTAATAAGTTCAGGGTCATGGGTGACCAGAGCCTTTCCCAGCAGCTCAGGGTGCAAGGCAGGAACCAACCCTGGCCAGGACTCCTTTCCATCCAAGGGTGGACTCACACATACACACGCGTACACACACACACACACAGTCCCTCACTCAGACTGAGACCATTTAGACAGGCCAGTTAACCTAACATACACATCTTTGGGTTGTGGGAGGAAACTGGAGTACTGGGAGAAAAACCCATGCAGACATGGAAAGAACATGCAAACTGCACACAGACTGGCTCCAGCCAGGAACCAAGTTTTTGTTCTCATCAACATTATAAGAAGCGATGTTGAACAAAACAACGTTATTCAAGGACTTGCTGCTATACAGAAACAGACATAGACATGTGCACTGTAATTGCACCTAAGTTGAAATGGTGCACTTACTGGATAAATACTGGAGTGAAGTACAAAATTGAGGATAGTTGTATTAGAGTGGTGGGTTTGTGGGGATTTTTCCTTCCGTTTTGTCCAAAACTTCTGTGAAACTTTTCTATTGTTTTTGTAGCAGACACAAAAGATGGGGGCTGATATTTAAAAGAAAGCTAAAAACTCAATTTTTTAGGTCCATAGGAAAGAAGAAAAAGTTTTTCTTTTAGCTTGCTTATTTGGACTTCCAGTTAGGATTTCCGAATTTCTTAATTTCTGCTTGGGTAAGATTTCTTCCCAGCTCCTCCAGCTTTTTTTGTCTTTTCCATCACGACTTGATGTGCTGTTCAGTTTGCTTGGCTCTGTGGCATCCTTGTTTCCTTGTTAAGTGTTGAAACTATTCTTTCCTTCTCTGTATTTTCTTTTCTTCCTGTTCTCTTTCTCTCTAGGTCCCACCTGTACTTCAGGGCCCTCCGAGGCCCTGTGTCTTTGGGTCAACCTTGAGTACTTTCAGCCCCACTCATCTCTTCCTCTTGGCTTCAGCTATGTGGCACTTAGTTGAGCCCTGAATGACATATAACAGGGTTTTGCATTTCACCCTCGTAATTTTGTGTTTGGGCATGTCCCCTTCCCCCATCCTGTTGGAAGCTCCCAGGAGGCTGGTGCTAAACCATTGATTTTTCTTGTCCCCCAGATGCCTGTTAAGGGCCTGATGGTCTGAGCAGTGGTCTCATGGTGAGGATTTCTGTGTCTTTCTCATTAGGAGCCTTTGGCTACTTTGAGGTCACGCATGACATTACCAAATATTCCAAGGCAAAGGTGTTTGAGAGTATTGGAAAGAGAACTCCCATTGCAGTTCGATTCTCCACTGTCGGTAAGTCAGTCTATTGGCATGACTGGTAATACTTAACTCAACCTGCACCTTATCTGGGACATTTATAACTTCATTTCAAGAAAAACTTATTAGAAAATAGGAAACAAGTACTTCTCCAAATTACAGCAAGGCTTTATAGTCGAGAAAAATATTTGGAGACATGGGAAGTTACTTACATTTCTGTTTGTTGAAGTCTTAGGAAATCACACTTAGGCAGAGCTGCAATTCTGTGATATTTGGAAAGAAATTTCTTATAAGTGGTTGCCGCTAACGGAAGTATGGAGTGGGGATCTTATTCAATAACCACGACAACAGCTGCCCTTTACTGAGGGTTAACTCTACGCCAACCACAGTTTGGTGCTTTATAAATATTACCTCTAATCTGTAGATCCCCTTCGCAGGGTGGGATTATTTCCATTGCAGAGAGGTTAAGTGATTTTTCACATGTTGCATAGCTAGTGTGAATTCTATCTTACTACATCCCAACACACCACAAGGCATGATTAATTTTGTTTCTATGTCAGTCTCTGTTTACTTTTAAAATGCTCTGAAATGCAAAAATAAGTTAAGGATAAGAATTAACTCATTTTCTTAATGTTAACCTCATAATTTTGACAGTTCACATTCTTTTTGTTTACTATCTTAATCTTCAGAATTATTCTCTTCCTTATTTTAATTAAAATTTTAATTACCTGTTTGAACAAAGTTATCTTACTATGTTAAATAGATAATCTCTCAGCTGTTATTACGTATACTTTCTTATTGCTCTCAATTAATTCTTTCATTTGATTTATAGAACAAATGAGCTGGTGGGTAGTAGAAGGATAATAATAACACAGGCACTTAAATACCTATTTGCTTCTAGGAAGTGGATTGGAAAGGGTAGATCCCGATGTGCCTTTATGACTTTAGGCTTATTGGATGCAAAGTACTTTGGTTTATGCTTCATTTTCCCATTTGAATATTATAGCTGGAGAATCGGGCTCAGCTGACACAGTTCGTGACCCTCGTGGGTTCGCAGTGAAATTTTACACAGAGGATGGTAACTGGGATCTTGTTGGAAATAATACCCCCATTTTCTTCATCAGGGATGCCATATTGGTAGGTGATAGAGTATTTTGCACTCTACAAATGGTTGTTGATTTAAATTGATTTCAGATAGATGGGCATTTGAGAAGAAGCCCTTAAAAGGCAGAAAAGAAGAGAATGTGGGTTGTCTGGATTGCCTTTTAAGATTGTTTTTCTGTATTTAGTAAGATCAAGTAACAACAGTTACCACTGGTCTTAGATTTCAAGATTCATTGACTTAATGGGAATAAAGTCCAGTTTTCCTTGCAGAGTGTTGAAGATTAGTAAAAAGAGGGACTTTGCCCTAAAACAAGTAAAGGGTGTCTCTACATGCTCTGGGTCAGCAGGAGGTGTGTGCTTGTGTGAGGGGTGGTACAGTTTTTTCCTTAAAGAGATACTATAGCTTTGAGTATATTTGAAATACTTTAGGATATCTTAGCTACTAATTATATATGTCGGGTAAATTTCATTTTATGGTTTGGCAGTTTAAAATTCTAGGGTTGTGTTTAGAATTATAATCCACAAGCCTAGGAATAGGCCATGTATAATGTAAAACACCCAAATTCCTGTAAACTTAGTTTTTAGATATTTTTTCTCTCTTTTTCCATTTAGTTCCCGTCCTTTATCCACAGCCAAAAGAGAAATCCTCAGACCCACCTGAAGGATCCGGACATGGTCTGGGACTTCTGGAGCTTACGTCCGGAGTCTCTGCACCAGGTGGGAGCACTTTTTTTCACTGTATTACAATACATCACCCGGGGCAGAACTGTTAATTTTGCCTCATGTGGTGTTTCTCCAGTTTGGGGTATTTTATTGGAATTGGCTTCTGACTTTCATTTTTGGAGGCTTCCTCCGATTTCTTGATCATGAAGAATTTTATAATGACTGATTTTGTTAATTGTTCCCCCTTCATAGGCCTTAAGTGATGATGATAGATAGCTAGAAGCATTATCAGTTAATATTTAGCAATATCAAGGATGAATTTCTCTAGTGTGAGGTAAAGCTCTATATTAGGAAATGAAGGGACAGTAGTACCAAATTTGCTATTAAAATAAATTTTAAATAACAAGTTAGGCTAGTTTTCATTTTTTTTTTTAGCTTTGCTTTGTAGAATTTTGAGTCATGCTGTTAATGATTTATATATCATTGTGCTTTAAAATTTTTCTGTTTATTATTATCTCTAAATGAAATAATGGTAACTCTTCCCATGGGAAATTGGCTAGTATGTTTCATGTCATTAAGGGGTTTTCTGGAAACTTAGGAATGTCTTAAAAATCTAGGATGTTTTGATTTAAACTGAAAAATTGTAGGCTTTATGTTTCTGTCCCTTAGGTTTCTTTCTTGTTCAGTGATCGAGGGATTCCAGATGGACATCGCCACATGAATGGATATGGATCGCATACTTTTAAGCTGGTTAATGCAAATAAAGAGGCAGTCTATTGCAAATTCCATTATAAGGTATGTGTTGCCTTTGTGACAGAGGGCATAAGGCCCCTACCAAACACCTCTCCTTATTTCTCCTGAAGGATTGAGCAAAGATTAAGGCTTCTCCTACCTTTCCTTCACCTCCACCCCCAAGGGTGGGAGGTATTGATCTAGTTGATCAGCACCATGAGTGTTTCTTTTGGCCACCACCCGAGTGGATAAATTCATACTGCCTGATAAAAATAACTGTGTCACGGGAGGTTGAGGCAGGAGGATCACTTGCCCAGGAGTTTGAGGTTGCAGTAAGCTATGAACATGTTATTGCCCCCCCCAACAAAGCAAGACCCTGTCTCCAAAACAAACAAACAGGCCGGGCGCGGTGGCTCACGCCTGTAATCCTAGCTCTCTGGGAGTCTGAGGTGGGTGGATTGTTTGAGCTCAGGAGTTTGAAACCAGCCTGAGCAAGAGCGAGACCCGTCTCTACTAAAAATAGAAAGAAATTAATTGGACAACTAAAAATACATAGAAAAAATTAGCCGGGCATGGTGGCGCATGCTTGTAGTCCCAGCTACTTGGGAGGCTGAGGCAGAAGGATTGCTTGAGCCGAGGAGTGTGAGGTTGCTGTGAGCTAGGATGATGCCACGGCACTCTAGCCCGGGCAACACAGTGAGACTCTGTCTCAAAAAAAAACAAACAAAAAAACAAACAAACAAACAAAAAAAGAACGTGTATAGTCTCTCTTTGGTCTCTTTACATGTTTACATGTGGCCAGAGGTAAGAGCACATGTTTGTTGTCAACAATTCAACAGTTTAAGCTTTCTTTTCTTTTTGGACCCTGTGGGCATCACCATAAATATTTAGAAAAAAAATACTCCTTTTGTGCTGGCTCTCTGGTTTAATGTTTCTGGTGCTGGCAGGTTCACATTGAGATTGCACCTTTCTCCCTGGAGAAAGGTTTTGGTTTGGGCTCAAAGGTAAAAAGATAACACAGCCTGAAGGCTACAGGAAATTTCCATCCTCTTTGGCCTATCTTTTCTAGGGTTCTCTGCTGGAGTTTGGGGTCAACCCTAGAAAACAGTCAAGTGTTATGATGCTTTGCCTTTCTTAGTCCTGAGTCATTATCCTGAGCATAGATTTCTTTTGGGGTCCGGAAGGGGACTAAGGCAGATTAGAGCATATACCAGTCTCACCATCACTTCCAAGATCTGATGCTATTTTTCCAGAAACGTCTCTCCTAACTTTTTAAGTCATTCATCTATTTACTTAGCATTTATTGAGGTTGAACAAGGCAAATAGGTAAAATTAATTATAAATGTCAGAAAACATACTGGTTTTTTTCGTTGCATTCATACAGTTAGATCAAATCAGTTTCCTTTGGGGAAGCTTTTTAGAACCTTTTAGTCAACTTAAATGTTTTAAAGGGCCCTCTTGGTATGATTTTGGCACGTTTATTATAAGCAATATTACCAGTGATCGCCAGGGTGTTAGGGATATTCCCAGAGAACTCCGGAGGGTTAATTAGCAACAGAAGCCTGAGAACTTCTGTTTCTAAGTAGTACTGCTAAAATAAGCAGAGAAAGGTGGGCTCATGGCAAACACAGTCTCCTGCTGAAGACATCCCAAATCCCTGCTTTCTTCTATCCTGTCTTAATCTTTATTTGAACAACTAATGTGGATATGTCAAACAGGAAAACTGTCCCCTCTCTTTATATTTATGACTTGGATCTATAATCTTTGACAGGGAACAGTTTTAAGAAACAGTTGACCCATTGGCTTGTAATTGGCAAAAGGAGCAGTGTGTTGTTACTTAGAGCAAGACTAAATGATTGTATCTGGGGCAGCCAGCCTAGCTGGTAGCTTTGGAGTTAGGCCAACCTAAACTTAAATCTTCACTCTCCTATATAGCTGTGGCCGTGGACATAGTATAAATGTTCTTTTCACTGTAATGTTGAGATACTACTACAAGCTGCTCACAGTTCCAGAAGGATTGGATTGCTTATGGGTCTGTTCAGCAGAGGGCCCTAAAGTAGCCTGAGATCTGCAGGGAATCATCAGTCTATCTTATTCTGACCTACGATTATTGTTTTCTAAACCTAAATGGCTTCAGTTAAACTTAGAAAGGTATTTCAATATTATTGCACAATTTAATGTAATAGCTCTTTGGGTGATCCGCAGACAGTGACCTTCATTTTTTTATCCTGAAGATGGCTTCACTTCTGGTCCAATGGTAAGAAGAGTTCAAACCTTGCCACTGACTAGAGAGAGTTGGGATTTCTGTGGTAGAAATAGACAGGCCTTCAGAATTGATTTTTGCTAAGGAGATCTTTCCATGGCACTCGGCTTATTGGGGGTCATTCACAATAGGGTAGACATCTACTGAAGAGCAGTGTGGTGTGGTAATACGAGCACTTGTGAAAGTGACATAACTTCTTTGGGTTTTAATGGCTTGTTCAGAAAGTTAGAACGCTAATTTTACCTGCTTATTGATAGAGAACTGGTTCAGAATAGCTGTACTGAAGTTCTTTAAGCTCTGTGAACTATGATTCTGTGATTTCTTAAAAAAAATGGAAGAGGTGATTGTGGAGGATTTCTAGCTGAGCACAATCTCAGTAATTGATTTGAGCTATTATAAAATGGGAATTAAAAAATTACTTTATAAAACAGGGAAGTCTTTTAATTTTATTAATCTTTTGCTTATTTTTAAAATGTTTTGATTTTTTTCTGATTCCAAAAATAACATGA